GGTCTGTCAGTCAGCAGATAATCCAGAATGTTAGCTGATGTTATGACATGTATTTTGTGTCACATAGACCATGAAAAATTATTAGCAGACAGTATTATTCCAGGTACTATCAGGAAGTAGTATTCCAGAGTTCATATATTCTAGGGGTGGTATTTGTATTAACAGATACAAATTTACTTCTCTTTGTTTCTTCCTGTTTACTAATGAAAGAATGATATCTGACCTGGTTTTTATAGCAACAATAAAACACTAAGCATTTGTCACACTTGATATTGACATGGACAAGCCAGACTTGCTGCTTTGCACTTCAGACTTTAAAAACCTAAGCTCTTATATGTAAGTGTCCAGTGTCCTGTGTTCTTAAACATTAATTGAAGTTTTGCTACAAATGTCAGTGATCGTCGGTCAGATGGCAAATGTTTGATTTTATGTAGTTCTGCCCGTATCAGCGTACTGTCAAAAATGGTTCACTGTTTATTTTTACTACTTGAGGTTTTCTTAATCTTTTTTGTAAATGAGGATTCAAACATGATGAGTTGCTGCTGCAGAAGAAAAACGTAAGAAGCTAGAAGTCATGCAGGTTGACACAGATAAATCTGTTCAGATCAACTTAGTATTTTTTTTTAAGTTTGTACCTTTATTTTGTCAATAATTAGAATTTTCTAAAGTTTGTTCATGTGTGGTTTCTTAAATTTAAAACATTTCAGTCCAAGCTTTTAACAAAATTAGAACACTTTAATCGCATTATTTTGAGAAACTGACTTTTTAAAATTCTTATAATATTTACAGATTTGGAAGCGAAGTTCAATATCTTAAAACATTTCCACTTTAATTTTCATATTTTAATCTGATTTCTTTTTTATTTTGCTTTCTAACTGGTTTATGGTATGTACTTGGCTTTCTTAATATGTTATAATTTTATCTCGTAACTTTAAAAATCTGTATTCAATAATGTTATTTAGTAGGGAACTTGATTTATCAGTCATGGCAAATATTTTCTTTATCTGTTTTGTTAAGCCTTAAATTATTAAAGGTTTAAAATATTAAAGGGGTTTATTAAATCCTGGATAATAGTGTTTGTAGTTTTAAAAGATTGGGACCAAATCTCATGCTACTTTTCTGGTTAAACATGAATTGGCCTCAGTGTCAGGGCTGCTAAGTATCTTCAGCTTCTGTGTCCTAATTTGCTCTCTATAATATGTCACTTTCTTCTCCAACTCTTACATTTTCTATTTACAGGCGTATATATTTTGTTGAAACTAGCTAGTAGATATAGTGCTGAAATGTACTACTTTATTTAATCAATTAAAGTTATTAGTTGTTTGGAGAAAATGCTGATTTTTATCTGGTTTCATTCCATATTTAAATAGGATGGGTGTCAATAAAGTCATATGAACCTAGTTGCTTATTAAAGCAGTAGTTTTCAAACTCTTTGGGCAAATGACTGCCAAACCACAATGGTTCTTAAGGACCAACTCCTAGCTCAGCAGATTTCTACCTTTTTTTCTTTTTTTTCCTTTTTTATAAATAGTTAATATGATTCCACACACCAAGTATGAACGATGGTTTGGGAGTAACTGCTCTCTTAGATCAGTTTAACTTGAGGATTTAGAATTTTTACATAATTGACTTATGTCACAGTTTAGAAAAATGATCACTGTCTATTCTGACCTGAAACATTATACAAGCGTAGTGCTTTTCCACATTGCGGCGTTGGACTCTGCCTCAAAATTTCTCAAAATATCTCAAAATAAGTTTTTCTTCTGTACACGTAATATTACCAAGTGGCTTCCCATGCTCAAATCTTACCTTCCACATAGAAAAAGGAGCAGAGCTTCCTTGGTTTTAGATTTTTCTTCTTTTTAAAGTGCTGCTGGTTTGGTCTTATCCTGAGTCTTTATACTTTTGAGAGTTTGAAGTTGAGCTTTTAAGTCTGAGAGGGGTTTTTTAAATGGAAATCTGTAGAACAGTTACATGAATATAATTTTTGTGACCCAGAACTGATGGCCAGAAGAGTTGTGTTGTTTCTTCTCACAAGGAAACAGGGAAGTTGCTGCATAGCAACTGTGGAGGCTCTTTTTGTAATGCATCTAAGAACAGTGCAATATTGGTACCTGATTGATAATATGAGCCTTAACACTTCCATCCTTTGCTACCTGTATTACACTAACAGCTTTTGAAATGCCTGTGATATTTTACCTTCTTTAAAAATACATTATGATATAGACATTCAGATCTTAAACTGTAATTGACTATTTCTGTATGCTAAGTAACTTTTTGTGATCTGCTTCGTCCTGTGGCTTCACCTAATTCCTAAACAAGTGAAGTACAAGAACTTGAAATCTAAACTTGGCAGAGAAGACATTCCAGCCATCTTTAAAATGCATTTAGTAACAGTTTTTTAAAGTTATAAATTAGTTAGTTCTCTATTTTTTGTTGTTGTTGTTAAAACAATTCTAAATTAGACTTTACAGGAATAACGTGAACGTAATTATTAAAAATTAAGATTCCACCTTTATGTGGAATTTTGCACTTGATATTTTAAATATTTCTTCCCTTGCATTTGACGTTTAAATATTTCTTCTGTTGAAGACTGATGCAAACCAGGACATCACTGAACTGGAGAATAAAGTGGCAGCTTTGAAATGCCAGTTTGAGAAGACTTTGAATGACTCTACTGCAAACCAAAAATTCTTGGAAGAGAACTTGGTGACAACAAAACATGACTTGCTCAAGGTTCAGGATCAGCTATCCACAGCTGAAAAGGTTAGCATTTTATTGTGATGTAAAGATGAGATCCTTACTCACATTTTAACTGATAAGTAATTTAACAAGCATACACTACAGGATGCAGCATTTACTGTGTCACACTTCTGCCTGTGTATTTTTGTTATTTCAGTGCAAAAACACCTGTTACATGTAAAACAGCAAAACCACAGCTAACTGTGTGATTGTAACTAGAGGAATGCTGTAAAATTGCCCATTTGTCTGCATAGAAATTTTTGCATGAGAAGTGTATCCCCAGTCTTCAGAAGACTTCTAGCCTGTTTTCATTAGAAAATAAAATTTGTGTTTCCCTGTCTCTCCCAGTAATCTCATTTAAATATACTAGCTGACTAAATTTAAGTAAATTAGAGAAACTACTATTATGAAACTTGAGGTGTAAAAGCAAGTCATCTTTTTTTAAAAAGCATATTAGCCTGGTTTTCATAATATGTAAATAATATATTGATATTATTATTATGTAGGAGTTGGAGAAGAAATTTCAGCAAACAGCTGCCTATCGCAACATGAAAGAGATTCTCACTAAGAAGAATGAACAGATAAAGGAGCTACGTAAAAAGCTTTCCAAGTAAGTGGTGCTGTTCTGTCTGTCCAGACAGGATCCTTGTTCTGGATCCGTGTTCTGCTCCCATTTTGGTTTTATAAATCTGAAGCTGTCTCTAAAACTAGACTATCAATTTTCCCTTAAAAAGAATTTCTAGTAGGCTGTTCCCTGATTTTTTGACAAGCCAATCCTTTTAATGGATGCTAGGCAAATAGGACTGATGTGTGCAACAGCAGCTACCGTGTAGCAAGGAATGAGAGAATTTAGTGTGGAGAGGATGCAAAATATTCATGGGTGTGGTAGATAAGATGCCAGGTGCTACACACAGAGATACAGATGGGAGATATACCAGATGCTTTGGCATATTTCTTCCACACTTGTTTATGGGAATGAGGAGTCTATGGTATGTAAACAGAGTTAGACCTGTATTGAGTAAAGAAAGATGCACCCTGGCCATTATATTGCGTAGAAGACTATCATTCTGCAAATGTCAAGTGAACTTTGGCACCATGGATGCCTTAGACCTGTGCTGTAGGAGGACAGAGGTAGAACTTCAGACTTCTGTTTAAATTTCTGCCTGTATTCCTGGTCATTCCCTCATTCTACAATTTGGTAAACTGGCCAATTTTAAAAGGAGAAAATAGTCTAAAAAGTGTATGCATTTGTCAGTGCCCTAAGTCATACAGTGAACCTCAAAAGGATAATGCGTCACTAGTGGGAGTAATTTATTACTTGGGTTTCATATTTCCCTTCTTTTATTTTACAACAAAATATCTGTTGGGTATTTTCTACTCTGTTTTAATGATTTTTTTTTGTTGTTGTTGTTTAAATCCTCAGATATGAGCCGGAGGACTAAAATACCAAAAACATCCAATCTCTCAGAAAGCTGCCATAGAAAGAAAATGTAGACTGGTATTATTTTTCAATAATTTTGGTTTTGAATGGTACATTTTTTGCTTCTAGTACTTAAAATAACTTTTTATTAATACTGATAACACGCTGAAACTCCTACCTGACTTCCTTGTAAACCTGCAATTTATAGGTATTAGTTTCTGTAGTCATGTTTTCAATTGATAACCATCAACATTCCTTGAGAAATAGTGAACAGGAGCTTATTGAAGAACTGAGATAATTCCCTACAAAGAAAGGAGTTTATTTTTGTTAAGAAAAAGAAAAAAAAGAAAAAAATAAGCATTAGGGTTTTTTGATGTCTCTGAGGTGGAAACTCCAGTTGTTACTTTTGTATTGTTAATGTAGCCATGAAGTGGCATTCTATGTGAAAATTCCATCAGTGGAAGTAAAAAGTAGGAGGAAAAAAATGAAACACACTGCTTCTGTAACATTATTTCGCACTGGATATGTCATACCTCAGCAAAATCTGGTCATTAATGAACACCCTCTGATCAAAATGTTAGAGAGTGAGATACATATGCTTTATAGCAGAAGCGCTGGACCCTTTCAAATAAAGCCACTGACTGAAGTTATGCTTTTTCACTTGAATTTATTTAAAACAAATTTGAACATCAGAAGACAGATTCTGATTTTGTCAGTATTCTTAACATTAAGATGATAATCCGAAAACACATAGGGAAGTTGCTAATGGAGCAACTTTCTTGGGAAATAACTTATTTTAGATGTTTTCATCTCCTTTCTTAATGTAACCTCACTAGAAAACAGCTTATTTCTCTCAAGTCTTCTACTTGTAATCCTCAGCCTCTTAATAGTGCATTCTGCTTCTTCGTCTGTCCCTGTCCATCTGTATGTTGTATTTTACCCCAAATAAAACCATTATGTTTTCAAACATTTAATCCTTAAGGAGCTGGGTTTTTTATAGGAGTGTTTTGTATAGCTCTTTTTTTAGTACCTGTAGAAAGGAGTGGCAGATCAGTAAAGAATCTTGCTAGAAATGCGAACATGTAAATTAAAGATTCATGCTCAAAGCCAGACCACATCAAACAGCTGTAAAAAAGCGGACCAGTGGCAGGGCTGGGAAAAGGCTGGTGTGTGTCTGTGTTACAGAAATTGGCATTTAACAGTGCTTGTCTCAGGAGCTGCTTGAACTGAAATGGATCATTTTTCCTCATTCTTTCTCAGATGGGTAAAGCTGTTAAAATTACTCAAGCAGTGATGCCCCAGTCAAATCTGCCCTATGCTTGCAGTCCGTAAGTTCTTTTGTTGTCCTTTTCCCCACGCTGGTTAAGCAAGATTGGTTTGGGATAAAGTCCTGTGTCTGTAGCGTGATATTATTGCTGTAGCACAGTAGTAGGGCTTTATGCGGTGACGTACTCCTCATGGAGTGTCAGTTAAATTCATAGAATGTGTTATTTGCCCCTTGTACAGTCACTAAAATGTCAAGTTCTTAATAGGGATGTATTTAAGATATAAGACCTTTGTGGCCTGTGTTTGCTCAGAGCAATTATGTTGACACCAACAGGAGTACTTGTCTGGGTGGTTATTGTGTTTTTCTTTGTAATAAAACTCATTTTAACAAGATCAGTTACTATTTCTAAAATGGCAGATAAAGGGTGAAGAAAGGCAGAGAATCTCCTGACTTCTGCTGGTCTTCTCTTTTCTGATAAATCTTTGGCTGTTGACTTAGCTAGAATATTGACTCTGTGATAGGCCTGCATTATCTGCTTGGAAACCATCTCATCAAGAAAGTACACCATCAGCTTCAGTACATGGATAGGTCTCAATGAAATAAGTTGGCTGTAGGCAAGAGTGATTAGAGACCTTGTTATACCCTCAAATGAGTAAGGCAAGTCTTGTAGAGAATTGTGCAGGGCAAAATTGGAACACTGACTTTGATTACCTGTCTTGCAGATTGCCAGTTTCGTGAGTATGAGATCAGCGTGATGCTCTCATTGGTTTGCATTGAACAATGGCTAAGTAAAGGTCTTATGTGGAGCTCTTGATGAAAAATACATCATCTGTCAAAGATGACATACCTGTCAGAGAAGACCTGGAGCATAATACCGTAGTAGTGATTCTCTTTTGTTGAGATAGGTACAATATTTTGAAGATGGAGATGACATCTGAACCTCTCCTGACAGTGTCTGATGTTTCTAAAATTTCACTTCTTTCCCCGAGGTGTAAATTCTAGTACTGCTTTTACCAGCCATTGTTCTTCAGAAGTTCATTATACTGCTCAAATAAGACATCATCCATTTCTTCCACTTCAGCTGTTAATTCCCTAGTTATGCCTGAAGGGAACGTTTAAAAAGAAAATTTCTCTATAACTGGCTGATCTGCAGGAATCAATCTCTTTCAAGCTGGGTGGGTTTCTTTTTGCTTGCAGACTGAAGAATATTTCCTATGGGAATGAAAATCTAGGCAGCTCAGCTTCACTAATGTTGACTCTGACAGCTCACAAACAACCCTATGCTCTAACCATGACTTGAGTTCAGCGGTGCTGCATGCCACCATCTTAATGAGACAGTATATTACCCAAGTACTGCTTAATCTGTTTTTCTCTTGTGAATAATAGCTATTTTTTAAATGTCCTAGGATGAATACTAATATATATTAACACTTAAACTGCAAGTACTCCTCTTTATTTGATAGACTGATGTAAGGACAGCTGGAATTTGGACATTTCCCACATACCTTGCTTTTGGGAAACCCGCAGTCATCTGCCAGGCACTTAAATTTCAATCCAGCCAAAATGTTCTTAAGATTCCTCAGTTTGATTTCCCTCTTCTGACATTATCAAGGATGTCTCTTGGCTTCTGCGTGATACCAAATGCTGTCAGACCACAGTGACATAATTCTTACTGCATCAGGAAACAAATGTGAATCATCTTGGGGTGTCACGTGGCTGAACGGATCAAGCTTAAAAAGTTTGATCTGATCTAGGAAGATGTACCTTTTAAAACACCTTAAAAAACAATTTAATGTAATTTGAAGGTAAGTTTGTATGTGAGCAGGTAAGAATTGTAGTTATTATTTTGAAAGTTTCTAACTGGCTTTGAGCAGAGAATGTGCCCACAGGAGTTACCCTATGACTGTTAATTTTGACAATGTCCCAGTGAGAGCATTGGCCCGGAATTCCTGCCCTGCTCTGGCTGCCTACAGACTCTCCATAGGCACCTAGATCATAGAATCGTAGAATCTTTGGGTTGAAAGGGACCTTCAAAGGTCACCTAGTCCAACCTCACTGCAATGAGCAGGGACATCTTCAACTAGGTCAGGTTGCTCAGAGCCTCATCCAACCTGACCTTGAGTGTTTCCAGGGATGGGGCATCTACCACCTCTCTGGGCAACCTGTGCCAGTGGTTCACCACCCTCATGGTGAAAAACTTCTCCCTTATATCTAGTCTAAATCTACCCTCTTTTAGTTTAAAACCATGACCCCTTGTCCTATCACTACAGGCCCTGCTAAAAAGTCTCTCCCCATCTTTCTTAGAAGCCCCCTTTAAGTACTGGAAGGCTGCAAGACAGTCTCTCTGGAACCTTCTCTTCTCCAGGCTGAACAACCCCAACTCTCAGCCTGTCCTCACAGGAGAGATGTTATATCCCTCTGATCATTTTTGTGGCCCTCCTCTGGACCTGCTCCAACAGGTCCATGTCTTTCCTGTGCTGAGGGCTCCTGAGCTGGATGCAGTACTCCAGGTGGGGTCTCACCAGAGTGGAGCAGAGGGGCTGAATCTCCTCCCTTGATCTGCTGGCCACGCTTCTTTTGATGCAGCCCAGGGTACGTTTGGCCTTGGGGGCTGCGAGCGCACATTGCTGTCTCATGTC